AAGATCAGAATCCAAAGTACAGTCTCTACTGAATACACATTGCTTTTGCACCATCATGGAGTCAAAAAATTGTGAGTCAAACCATCCTAAGCTAGGGACCATCTGTCCAAAATCTAGGAAATGGAACACATGTATGATCTAAAATAGTGCCCTCAATTTTCAGATAGTCTCTCTTGGTAGATTGCCTAAACTCTTACAAATAGCCTTGCATATCTACTATACTTTAAAATAAGTTAATTTTAGGGGTGCCTCGGTAGCCCAGTCGGTTGGGCATCTGACTCTTGATTTCGGCTCAGGTCATGATCCCAGGGGCATGGGATCAAGTTCCATGGTGGGCTCTATGCTGAGCCTGGAGTCTGCTTAAGAGTCTCTCGCCCTCCTCTACTGCTTGCACCTTATTTTTCTCAAAAAAAGAAAAAAATCATAATTCCAAGTACTCAGGTACACTAAATTTGTAAGGAAATGCCTGGAACTACTGAGTGCCACTTTAGAAAGGAGTAGTGTCTGTTGTGCTTGTGATTCTTGATCACGATTCAACTACAAGGTTAAATTATACTCAGATGACCGTAAATAGCAAGACCGTTCTTCAGTGGCTGATAAGTGAGTGTCTTAACACTCTCCCCTTGAGGAGTAAGAACCAAGGAGTAAAGGAGGAATAAAAAGTGACTTTTGGCCGGGGTCGGGGGTTGGTGGGGAGAGGGCAGCGTGGCTCGGTCGGTAGAGCATGTGATTCTTGATCCCGGAGTTCTGTGTTTAAGCCCCACACTGGGTGTAGAGATTACTTAAAATCTTTTTTTAAAAAGTGATGGTTGGGTTTCTAGGCTGGGTGGGACTTGTGGGTGAGCATCGGCAGTATGCTGATGCTCCTGCGGCGCTGGGGAACGCTCGAAAGAGTGGATCTGGGGACTGGAAGGAGACAAGGATGGCTTCGCTTTAGATAATGAGCTGCTGTGCAGGCAAGAAATTCAGGTAAAGCGGCTGAACCTATGTGGAATTTAGGAGATCCAAGTCAAGAAAAGTAAATTTGGGTGTCTTCAGGACACCGGAGACTACACTTTGTGGCATCAGTGGCCCTCAGAAAGTTCTCGTTAAGTTGTCCAATTTGGTTTTATTGAAAATGTGAACATTTAGAGAAGGGAACAAAAATTCTGACTTACTCCTACTTCCTATTTATACAATTTAGAAGCAGAAATATGAGGGTTTTTGTCTTCCGAATGACTTCTTAACGTCTTTGAGATCATTCCTGTTACCTGAACTGATTAACACAAACTCCCATGTATTTTCTCCTCACGTCTGCTTGTTATTGTAGGCCCTCATCTATGTATTTTCCTTTCGTTGCCTGTCGTAAGAACCTCATTTTTTAAAAATTTTTTTTAATGTTTTATTTCTAGGAGAGAGAGAGAGAGAGAGAGACAGCGTGAGCAGGGGAGGGTCAGAGAGAGAGGGAGTCACAGACTGAAACAGGCTCCAGGCTCTGAGCCGGCAGTCAGCACAGAGCCCGACGCGGGGCTCGAACCCACGAACCGCGAGATCATGACCTGAGCGAAAGTCGGACGCTTAACCGACTAAGCCATCCAGGCGCCCCAAGAACCTCATTTTAGAGGCAAGCCTGATAAGAAGCAATTAAAACCACAGCTCTATCACATTGCCACGCTTCGTATTTTTGCTTCCCTTTGTCACCCCTCAACACGTACATCACCTCCTCCTCTGCCCACCCTCGCCACCATCGCATATGCTTCTTGCTGTCTGAGCTCTCAGTCAATAGACGCCTGCTGAACCAGGGAACGAGTGGATGGAAACAAGCAGCACAGATCTGACTAGTGTAGCATATTGTGTGAGGCCGTAGGCCCTGCATGGTTTTGAGCACTGGCTGAACAAGCTTCTGTGTGCCTTCTGTGTCCCTGCTCTACACATGCATCACTATCATAGGAGGGCAGCTCTCATGCTCTTACAAGACAAGTGCTATTCCCACTCATTTCGTCTCCCTCCCGGTGCCAGTCACCTAGGCAAACAAGATCTGTCTAAACCACTTCCGTTGCTTCAAGTTATGCAGCCTATCACAACACGCTGTAGTAGTAAACATGTGGAGGCTACTTAAGTGCAGTTGACTTAAGGCGCAATTATAAAAAAGGATTTGCCAAAGAGGTCTCTGTAGTGAGCTTCTCTTCTAAAATAATTGGCTTTAAAACGTGTCATTTGTGGGGCGCCTGGGTGACTCAGTTGGTTGGGCGTCTGACTTCGGCTCAGGGCATGATCTCAGTCTGTGGGTTCGAGCCCCGCGTCGGGTTCTGTGCTGACAGCTCAGAGCCTGGAGCCTGCTTTGGATTCTGTGTCTCCCTTTCTCTGCCCCTCCCCACTCATGCTCTCTCTCAAAAATAAACATTAAAAAAAAATCATTTGTATACATTTCAAGAAGAGTCATCCTCGAAAGGAAAGGCCTAACGGAGACCATGGCGTCCTGGGGACACAGTTTCTTCTCTTGATCCTCAGCGGGATGTAGGTGGGTTTCCAATGAGGACAAAGATGGCAAATGAGCGATCAGAGAAGCAACTTCATCCAAGATTTTTGACCATAGTTACTGCTCATGAACTCGAGGGTTCCACTTGAACTTTTGTTTTTGGATGTTAAACAGAAAACACTTCAGAGTTTCACTTCTAGGTTATTGCTTTTGTCATCTGAGTGCATTTCCAGCTCGCGCTTAAAACTTTCACTGGCCCCTGGGCGGGGGGCGGGGGGGGGACAAAACTCATTTTGTTTTTGCAGTTAAGAGTAAAAATTCACTTACTGTAACAACTCAGTTCTAATGAATACTAACACAACATTTCACGGATACACATTTTGCAGTATGTCTTTGCGGGTTGGGGTGGGGGGCCTGATGGCAGTGCTCAGGCTGTGGTGGTTAAGCCAAAAGCCTGGAGAAGCCACCTACCTTGTAAGTGTCCTTTCATCTTGATGGTGTAGACAGTTCCTTTGACAGCATACATCATCACGTCTTCCCAAATGTAAATGTTACGCGCATCTTCAGATTTCCTAGCAATGTTACATTTTATATTTACAGCATAAAAAAGGAACAGAAAGACCCAGATCTGTTGGTCTAATAAAGTTTTCCTCTTAAGCACCTTACTATCCCTGCCCTGCAAATATGATGCAACTTTCTCCATAGACTCAACATGGGAAAGCCTAGGAGACCGAGAGGTGTCTGCTGCCTCAGTTCTGCCATGGACTCACCACATAACTGATGTGGGCAAAGTCACGGACTCTCCTCACTTACACAGACTGAACTGAGCCAAGCTCCCATAGTTGTTGCTCGGCACTCAAGACCTCTGCAGACACCTGATATACTTTACTGTTTGTTTCCATACCTCGTTACACTTTTAAGGTTGTTTTTTAAGTTCCTGTTAAGACTAACAACCATATAGTTTCTGTTGCCCAACCTGTTTTGCTGCCTTTAAAAATATCCTGGAACAGGCGAGGTTGCCTCCTATTCCAATTTGCTTGCGTCAGAACTCTTTCTGATATTCGACATCAGGCTGAATAAGAATATAAGAAGAATAAGAATATAAGAATACTTCATATTCTCTTAATTTCAGAAGCCAGCATTCTTTATTACTCTGTTTCTCCCTCATGTGTTAAAGAATTCCATTTCTTCCTTAGGTACTAACATTTTATTTAGATATTAGAATTCCTTCTTCAGTCATTTAACAAAGCAGGATGTATTACTTGCCCTCCTGGGCTTACACACGTAACTTGCTTTAAGTGCCAAGGAGATACAACACTTCTTGGAGCTCGTGGGTGGCTAAGTACGTTAAGTGTCCAACTTCGGCTCAGGTCATGACCTCACAGCTGGTGAGTTCGAGCCCCGTGTCAGGCTCTGTGCTGACAGCTCAGAGCCTGGAGCTGCTTCAGATTCAGTGTCTCCCTCTCTCTTGCCCCTCCCCCACTCATGCATGCTCTTTCTCTCAAAAATAAAAAAACATTAAAAAAATTTTTTTAAATAAATGTAACATTTCTTGAGAAAATCAGGAAAACTAGATCAGTATCTCCAAGATGCTTTAGAAAGGAAAGGGACTCAGCACTTAATCTTACATATTTCAAGAAAGTCCAGTCCTTACTTTGTGTCCTGTGCCTCACACATTTCTACACACCTTAAATGGTCTGCTCATTTCGAACAGCAAGCCAAATACGTTCGCCCAACGTGTGTCACAGGTGGTGTTCGTGAAAATATATGCTCCAAGCCCCAGTTCATCCTGACATGCAGAACACACACACACACGATGAAATAAACAGGGAGGGGGCGCCTGGGGGGCTCAGTCAGTTAAGCCTCAGTTAAGCGTCCGACTTCAGCTCCGGTCAAGATCTCACAGTTCGTGGGTTCGAGCCCCACGTCGGGCTCTGTGCTGACGGCTGGCTCAGAGCCTGGAGCCTGCTTCAGAGTCTGTGTCTCCCTCTCTCTCTCTGACCCTCCCCTGCTCACGCTGTCTCTCTCTCTCTCAAAGTTAATAAAATATTTAAAACAAAACCAAACAAACCAACAGGGAGAAGCACTTGTGTTAACAGAATGTTCTTCCAGAGTAATTCTAAGCTGCACATACTGGATCCTTGAATGAATTCCTCAACAGAGAATTCCAAATAGTAAAGAATCTTGGCTGGTGACTGAATAAGGACATCCACATCCACACGTCAAACTTGTGGTATTTTAATTAGATACTTTAACAGGTAAATTCCCTAGTTAGCCAGGCTCATTTGGTTGACCAAAATGGCCCAATGAGTCTCCAGCAGACCATAATTGTTTATAAAGTCTGTGACTGGCAGTTAAAATTTGTGAAACAGCCTGCTGCCGCAAAGAGCCGTGCTTCCCGGCTGCGCTGTTGCCGGGGCTGGTTTTCCCACTGGCCACACCCCAGTCACGCTTCCACACGGCAGCCTGCACGGCGGAGCGGCCGGTGAGGAACTAGCAGCAAAGCAACCAAACAACAAAGAAAAAAACTTCATTAAAAACCTTTTATTATAAAAGTGTGCTTTATTATAAGGTAAATTTAAATATAACCAACAATACTGAAAATAATGTAACTGGCATTTACAGCCCTGGTCAGAATTCTTTATTCAACAGGCATCTGTTTGCTATTCCATGAACAGTTAACGATCAGCTTGTGCAACAAGGTATCTGAAAACGTGGGTGAAGAATACAGAAGGGTGAGCCGGGGCTTCGGGCGGGTTCTTTGCATTTCTTTGTCTAACAGACATGGCTTTTAAAATAAAAACTGAAATAGGAAACAAGTCATCTTCGTGTAGTAAGCGCTCTTCCTACAAGAAGGTTTGCAGATTGTTCAACAGTATCTAAAACGGGGCTGAAGTTATAGTTCACACACTCTTTACAGGTACATGATCCGATGAACAGATTGTAGCCACGTTTTCATTATAGAAGACCATTGACATTCTACAGTAACACCACACTGTAACAGCCACAGAATACTTTCACCCAGGTACACAGTTCTTTAAAACCTATTTCCCAATATGAAATTGCTCATTGAAAAGTGAACAACTGGTTAGAATTAACCCCTCCAGACACTGTGGTCACATGGGCCTAGAAATCATGTTAAGATCAAAACTGCTTTGGTTGAATGGGATTTAACTCATCCTAGATAGCAGAATAATGAGCGTATCAACTATCAATGAAAACCTATTCAATTCGAGTTCACCCTGCACATTTGAGTCTACATTCATGCAAATGGCAAGGTCTAGCGGTACATCTGGACTGGGCAGCAGCTCCTTTTATCTTCAGATAGGGTTTTGCTTATAAAAATTTATTTCTACAACCTTAAAGGAAACCCATGGGAACAGACGTCTGCAAAGGACTGTATTATGCATGCCTAGTGAAGAACAGAGAAATATCTTGGGGGCATGTTGATAAGGACTCCAAAATATTTTTGGTATAGGAGGGTTTTTTTTTTCTTAGCATATGTAGTATCTTCAGCTTCTAGAAGACAAGTTTAAATAGCATTAACAAAACCTATTTGTGACATTACATGTCAAACTCAAAGAGAACCACGAAATGGAAAAAAAGGAAGTAGATATATGCTTTATGAGGAAACTGCTAACGATCTCTGCTCCCTACTGTCACAGTGACTACACTGCCCATCCTTAAACCACTAGAACATGTAGGTTTACTGACATTTGGCCAAAGAAGTCAAAATGTACTTTATTGCAAGAATACAAAAGGTTTTAGAATTGCATATGATGTTTTATGCCATTTTGCCATAGTCCAAGGCCAGCACATAACTTATCAAGCCAGAAAAACTTGAAAACAAAAATGATGAAAACTGTACTTACTATATATATAGTGAGTCGTAAAAAGAATACGATGCCATGCTGTAGAGCATGGTTCACTGCCAAGTTCCCTTTCACATGGGCACAGTCACTAACACAGCAATCCAAGGAAGTCCAGGTGAACACGTGCTGCCCATGCTAACACCCTTCCATTGTCTTCCTGCACACAGATACTTTCAATATATTACACTCGTGAATAAACCTCTCACTGAGATCGTAATTTTGTGGAGTACAAAGTCACTTCATCGGTATGTCGATATTGTTTTGATCTACTCTTTAGAAAGTGATGTTAAAGCCTACTGAGTATTAAATCACTACTCCGCTTACTGATACATTGTAAATGTAAAAAAAGGAAAAAACCTGAAATCACAGAAAATGCTTGGCACCTACACAAACACACCCTCAGTGGACTGAGCACTACTGTGTAATTCTGTCACTACAGGTCTTGCTCCGTACTCTTGCTTCATGCAGTGGGCTCAACAATATCCATGTTAGTTCCAAACAGGGCAACTAATTGTTCTTCGTAGGTGGCAATGTTCCTTTTCATAATTTCCATGCAAGGTCCCAAAAGCCTTTCAAATGCTTGCACATCCATGGCTAAGAGGAGGAGAGAAGAAGAGAAAAAGAAATGTAACATTCTTTGCAAATCTGAAAAATTGCGAAGTCATTTAGGATACCCATTCTGCATGGGTCAGGAATACAATGGTTACTTTTATCTATTTATTTTTTTAATGTTTAATTATTTTTGAGAGGAGAGAGATGTAGATGGAGTATGAGGGAGGAGGGGCAGAGAGAGAGGGAGATACAGACTCTGAAACAGGCTCCAGGCTCTGAGCTGTCAGCACAGAGCCCGACGCGGGGCTGGAACCCACGAACTGTGAGGTCATGACCCGAACCAAAGTCAGACACTTAACCGACTGAGCCACCCAGGCGCCCCTGCAATGGTATTTTTAGATAAATATCAAATATAAGGGCACAAGGATAAAAATGTTCCACTTCAAAAAATAAACAGCCACCGCTCCCTTGACAATGGGATTTTGCAGTGCTAGGCTGGTGGGAGGCTCCTGGTCTCAGCTGAGAAAAAAACACAAAGCCTGGAAATTCTAAAAAAATAGGGTTTTTTAAAAGAAGTTTATTTATTTTTGAGAGCGAGAGCGAGCGAGCAAGGGGCAGAGAGAGAGTGGGAGACAGAGAATTCTGTCAGCGCAGAGCCCCACGTGGGGCTCGAACTCATGAACTGTGAGATCCTGACCTGACTCGAAATTAAGAGTCCAACACTCAACTAACTGGACCACCCAGGTGCCCCTAAAAAATAGTTCTGATGTCACCAACTCAGTAATACAAACTCTTCAAAGTTGGCAAGGGATTTGTTTTCTCTACTGTGTTTCCTTCTCAGGGTTTACAACGCTGTGCTGTAAAGACCCAGTGTCACCGTGCGCAATGTGTGCTCACACCAGTGCCTAGACTGTTCAAACCAGTGGCCAGAATGCTTCTCCCCACCTGTAAGGATGTGCTGTGTGTCACTTTCCTGGTCTCTCTCCTGCGTTTTTAAAAACTCAATTTACAATATACACATGGGAACTGTGATCACACTCTCTACCGCAGAAATACAAACTTTTTAAAAAAAACTTTTTTTTTTGCCTTTCAAATTTGCAAAGGTACAGAGGACTCTGCTCACAAGAGTGGGGGGACTGGACACTTGCACTGTGGGCAGCATGCACATCAGCACAGGTCCAGCGGGGGGCAGTATACACCGACCTCCTTAAAGCACACGCCTACTCGGAGGACCATTTCTAAGGAAAAATTCTGTAAATGGAAAAGTAGTCTGTGGACACAGACACAAACACTGCTCCCCTCCCCCCCAAAACTATGGAGCCAAAACCCCCAAAATATTCACCAGTGGGGACTAACTCATCATGTAGATGTTTACCTAGTAGGATGTTACAATTTGATAAAATGAGAAATAAAATGAGTAAGGGCCTACGCTACAGAAAATGAAACAGTGCTTTACAACACTTCAAACACAGAAAACCCGTGCAAATACAGATGAGAAGGACTTATCACAGGATGTGGAAATCACTGCAGGCGGGGGGGGGGGGCGGGTGGTATGGGTCTTTCCCAGCTTTTCCGTATTTCTCAAATTTTCTTTAATGTGAACAAATTTGTTGTAAGAAAAAATTAATGGGATTTCACTCACTTCACTTCACCTTTACTCTTTCTCACTATTATCTACACTCAGGAAAATTACCTGTCGGTTTCTCACGACCTCCTTCTTCATCTGAGTATAACACTTGATTAATATACTTACTTAAAGCCCTTTAAAAAGGAACTCCTCTAGGAGGTTAGTTCCGAAGGGACCCTTAGATCTTAACAATACTGAAACTGGGGCACTGGGTGGCTCAGCTGGTCACGCAGGTCATGAACTCGTGGTCTGCGAGTTCAAGCCCCACGTTGGGCTCTGTGCTGACAGCTCAGAACCTGGAGATTATTTTGGATTCTGTCTCTCTCCCTCCCTCTCTCCCTCTCTCTCTCTCCTTCTGCCCCCCCCCCACATACTCTGTCTCTCTCAAAAATAAACAAACATAAAAAAAGAACACTGAAGCCAAGTGTTTTCTACTGAACCGTGGATAAGAACACAGAGTGGCTAATCACTGTTGAATCAATTTTTCGTAAAATGTCATCTACATGGACTCCTCCTGAGTTCCATTTTTTACTATTAAAGTAAGTTCTTTCTCACATATGTATCTCAGATATAGATAGATGCCTTCCATTTGACAATGGCATTTCTGCTGCAGGGAATTAAACAGTTGAACAATAAAGAAAATTCTACTGCATGCTAACAAACCTGAAACTGTGATTTCTGGGACCAGATGAGGAAGTATTCCCAAAGAGTGGACAGCTTTGCCCAGAGACCTTAACGTACACTATAAAAAATACTTTTCTGGCTTTTTTGTGAGGAACACAGCCTTTATTTGAAAAACTAGACATAAAACTCCATACTCAGAATTCTTTACTAAAACAAGATGCCATTTCACACCTATACAAAAGAAGAAAATAGGTATGTGAAAATTTTTAAAGAAAAAACTAAGGGCAGGGTACCTGGGTGGCTCAGCAGTTAAGCATCTGATTCTTGACTTAAGCTCAGGAAATGATCTCAGTTTGTAAGATCGAGCCCCACATCAGGCTCTGAGCTGACGGCGTGGAACCTGCTTGGGATTCTCTCTCTCCCTCCTCCCACCTCAAGGGTGCGTGCTCTCTCTCTCTCTCAAAACATTTTTTAAAGAAGAATGTTTTAGGGGTGCCTTGGTAGCTCAGTCGGTTAAGTGCCAAACTTAAGTTCAGGTCATGCTCTCATGGTTCATGGGTTCAAGCCCCTGCGTTGGGCTCTGTGCTGACAACTCAGAGCCTGGAACCTGCTTTAGATTCTGTGTCTTCCCCTGTCTCTACCCCACCCCCCCACTCATACTCTGTCTCTCTCTCTGAAATAAACGTTAAAAATTTTTAAAAATATTTTAATAAAAAAAAAACTAAGGGCCTCCCACAAACTGATTTCCATAATGCAATGAATCCTTACCTTGTTCTCTTTAGTGGGGACCCTGAAACGTGTGAACCCAGTAAGGTCACCGGTACAGTAACATGAATACATAAAATGCAGACCTAACGATTCCCACCCAGAGGAGCACGTCCAGCGCTGTGGCTCCTACCTAAACATTTGACAGTCCCGATGGCGTGCGCGGAAGCTGCTCGGGGTTTGTTAGTGACGAGAGCAAGTTCTCCAAAGTACTGTCCCCGAGAACACCGAGCGATCTCTACTGCGCCATTCTCCTCCACCTCGGATTTGCCCTGACAAGGGAAGTAAGAGCGTGTGCTTTAACTCAGCTTATGAAAACCGAGCTACCCTTAGTCTAAAGCATCAGAAAGGAAACCCACGGCGTTCCTCACTGACATGGACGCTTGCTTGGGACTGGCCAATGCTTACCTTCCTTTTCATGGTGATTTTCACTTCACCGGATTCTACAATGAAAAAAGAATCTGCCAAATCTCCCTGTATGAAGGAAACAAGAATAGAGAGTGAAAATGCAAATTCGGGTGACAGCAACCCCCTTGCCCCTCGAGCCCCGAAATGTACAGATGATTCTGCCAGACAAGGGAAGCCCCCATAGGAACAAGCTCTCTCTCCGTCTAAATTGAGAGTCTGTGCTAGACAATCACAGAGTAATGAGCTCATTTGTAAAATTATTTGAAATAATAAACTCCCTACGACAGCATTTTTTGCTAAAATTAGCCCAAAAAAAGGCAAATGCAGAGATAAGAATTCGGCCCCAACTCCAGCCTGGACGACCATGTCCACAGTCAGAAAAGGCAGCACTGGGGGGCGCCTGGGTGGCTCAGTCAGTTAAGCATGTGTCCAACTCCTGGTTTGGGCTCAGGTCATCATCTCAGGGTGTGTGGGATTGAGTCTCATGTGGGGCTCTGCGCTGACCATGTGGATCCCGCTTGAGATTCTCTCCTTCCCTCGATGGCCCTCCCCAACTATCTCAAAATAAATAAATAAACATTAAAAAGAAAAAACAGAGGTGGCAGCATCATTTCCCAGCTGCACCTCCCCTCTGCCGGCCCTTCCTGCCTCCTGCGTCACCCCTGACAGCAAGCAGCAGCACCCGCGGCCCAAACCGGAGAAACTCTCCGCAAAGAGAAGGCAACTGGCCTCATCAGGAAGCAATCCACGTGGGCCCTGACGTCTTCCACACCACCTCGGGGGCTTCACAAAGGCTTCTGAAAGTGTTGCCATTTCTAACTACACACCTGCTTTTTCATGCTTTTGGTTTTTGAGTGAACTCAGCCTTGGTTTCTGATGATCCCGTCCGAATTAAATAGTGCAACATGGAAGATAACAGATCCTGACTTTTCTGAGCCTCTCAAAGTGATTCTAGAGAAACTGGTTTTTCAAAACTCTTTAGTATATATAAACTATAAGAAATACAGTATCAGCTTACATCACGTTTTTGTCTAGGTTTATGTAATATATAGACATTAATGTTTATAAACACTTAAAAGACAACTAATATCTAAAAATATTTTTAGTAAACCCTAAGTAAAACATATAATCTCTCTTTATATCAGAGCTTCACATTAAATTTTCAAGTATTTTAAACAATAATAGCTCTAGAGACTACTGTGTAATTTTTTTAAAAACATTTTAAGTAATCTCTGTACTCAATGTGGGACTCAAACTCACAATCCCCAAGGTCAAGAATCATACACTCTACCGACTGAGCCAGCCAGGCACCCCGTAACTTTGTTTTTGAAACGTGCTCTCGGGCTGCCTGGGTGGCTCAGCTGGTTGAGCCTCCAACTCTTGATTTCGGCTCAGGTCATGATCTCAGTGGTGGGATCGAGCCCATTATTGGGCCATTATTGGATTCTCTCTCTCTCTCTCTCTCTCTCTCTCTCTCACTTTCTCTGTTTCTCCCTCTGCCCTTCTCCCCAACTTGTGCATGCTCTCTCTAAAATAAAAAAAATTAAAATTAAAATGTGCTCAAAATGATGTAAAAGTGGTGCAATAGGGTCTGTGGACCGTACCAGTGTCAGTTCCTTAGGTGTGATATTGAACCGTGGTGATGCAAGATACCCTGGCAGAAAGTGGGGGAGAAGGGCGTGGGACCTCTCTAAATGATTCTGCAACTTACCATGAATCTGTAATTATTTCAAAATAAAAGGCTAAAAAAGTAATTTCAGAAGTGCTCTGTACTTTGTTATATTTCAACTTCTACAGTAGAACCTTAGCCTTATTATCTAATTGGACTCCACTTCTTTCCAATCCCTGACTGTGTGTATATGCATCTGTGTGTATAGGAAAGAGAGAGCAATTTGCATGTTTTTTTGCCCTCTAAAAACAATTATTCTTTCCTCAGCCTCGCAGACCTTGAATCTTGTTTCACATACATCAAGAAACAGGTATTTTATTATTTTATTTCTTTAAGTAGGCTCCATGCCCAACGAGGGGCCTGAACTCACGACCCTGAGATCAAGAGTCCCATGCTCTACAGACTGAGCCAGCCAGGCGCCCCAGAAGAGACAGTATTTTAGATAAAGATTATAATACGTTATCAGTATTTTTATACAAATATTATAGAATCTTTTAAAATCTGTTTAAATCATTCACTCAATGCTTCAAAACTGTAACTAGGAAATACAAGGTACTATTAACTGTAACTGTGTCTGTGAACTTCGACTGTCTTCATAAACTCTACCTCTTGGCAGCTCTACTGTAACCGAGGTCACAACTGGGATTTTAGAAAAGCGTTAGGGGTTAAGTAGCATGTTAGCCCCCATTTAGTGCCTGGAAAACCATAAAGTACAGGGTGCAGTGTGCTCTCTTCTTGATGAATTTTATCAGGGAGCACCCCCAGGGGGTGATCGTGCAGAACTCTGGAATCCCTCCCAGTGGGCCTGCTGGGTTCTTACTATCGCAAGGAACACTCATCTGGTTTTCTGATTGTAAACAACATCTTATTGTTTGGATATATTTGAATTTCATGTCACGTACAAATATAAAATTATCCAGAAATCCATGTGATGATTTAATACATATTCATTTGGAGTTAATTATGTAAATAAAAATATTCAGATAGCTTAATGGCTATAAATTGAACTACTTTTTTTAAAATTTTTTTTTTTAATGTTTTATTTATTTCTAGGAGAGAGAGAGAGAGAGAGAGAGAGACAGCGTGAGCAGGGGAGGGTCAGAGAGAGAGGGAGTCACAGACTGAAACAGGCTCCAGGCTCTGAGCTGGCAGTCAGCACAGAGCCCGACGCTGGGCTCGAACCCACGAACCGCGAGATCATGACCTAAGCGAAAGTCGGACGCTTAACCGACTAAGCCACCCAGGCGCCCCTAAATTGAACTACTTTTAACAGGTCATTTGTTGGAGGTAATAATCATTTAATCCATCACTGCATACTAATTATAGACACATATGAAAAATTTATTGAGATCTGCCACATGTAAGAACCTTTTGGAATATAACCGTAAGGTGAATTACCTGAGCAATGATTTGTTCTCCATCGTTGTATACTTTGGTGCCTATGACATCTACCACTTTCAGGCGTTCAGAAACCTTCAAAGAAAAAAGATAGTATCAAACAGATGAACTGGGTAATTCTATTTCAGAAGTTAACAATGGGGAGCCTATAAGCCAAATAAATCCAGTAGAGTGTGTGTGTGTTTTGGATTAATTATCTGCCAGCATTTTAAAATAGATGTCTCATAAAACCTTAATTTCTAGCTTCTCTTTTTAAGTTTTTAAATGTTTTATTTATTTTTGAGAGAGAGAGAGAGAGACAGCATGAGCAGGGGAGGGTCAGAGAGAGAGGGAGTCACAGAATCCGAAGACAGGCTCCAGGCTCTGAGCTAGCTGTCAGCACAGAGCCTGATGTGGGGTTCGAACCCACGAACCAGGAAGTCATGACCGGAGCTGAAGTTGGATGCTTAACTGATTAAGCCACCAAGGCAACCCTCAGCTTCTCTTGAAAACTCAGGAAGGAGACTCACAACACCTGGCCCACAGTCTCACATGGCACTAACTACAAGCTGTGGTAGCCCAGCTGCTGATCTTTAGCCAGAGCACATGTTGTCCAGCTTTACCCAAATCCCATCCTGGCTTTGTTTTCTCCTTTATGTTACTTGCCTAAATCCGAAGGGATCCGGATTTCCATCCCCTGATCTCTTTCACTTAAAAGAGGTGCTGCTAGAGATTAACGGCTGCCTCATACACAATTCTGTCGTGTGGCCAGAAGCTCTACCACGTGTGTACTGACAACCCAGCAGAGGAAGTTTCAGGAGATGAGTCAGTACTAATTCCAAGGCTTCTGGCCAAGGTACAGTAAGATGGGGAAGGCGGGGCGGGGGTGGGGGGGAGGTCGAGGACGGGCTCGGTTTGAGAGATCTATTAGACACCTGAGGGCATACGTCAAATATGTGGTTGGATAAACATGTCTGCCATCTGAGAGAGAGACCCGCTTACTGATGTCAATTTCAGGAGGCATTAACATATAAGCAGTATTTAAAGCCAGAGGATATGACAAGTTCACCAAGTGAGTAAGTGTAGCCTGAAAACAGAAGGGACCCTGGAATGCCACTTTTAAGAGGAAAGGAGAATAGGAGTAAACAGCAAAGTTGACTGCGAAGGAAAGGCCAGGGAGGCCACACTGTTCTGACAAGCTCTCCCTGTAAAGGCACAACTAGTGCTGCTGCCTACATTTATATCATCATTTTAAGTCTGCCCTTTTCTTAAGAAAAGTTTTACTGACATTCCAGTTAACATATAGGGTAATATTTGTTTCAGGTGTACAGTATAGTGATTCAACACTTCCAAACAATACCCAGTGCTCATCACAAGTGCCCTCCTTAATCCCTGTCACCTATTTTACCCATCCCTCCGCCCGCTGGTAACTATGTTTGTTCTCAACTATATAGTTAAGAGTATGTTCCTTGGTGTCTCTCTTTTTTCCCCTCTGCTCATTTGTTCTGTTTTTTTAAATTCCAAATGAGTGAAATCATATGCTATTTGTCTTTCTCTGACTTGTTTCACTTAGCATTATACTCTCTCGCTCTATCCACATCATTGCAAATGGCAAGATCTCATTCTTTTTTGTGGCTGAATAATATTTCATTATATATAACCCACATCTTCTATATCCATTCATCAGTGGACGGGCACATGGCTGTTTCCATAATTTGGCTACTGTAGATAAAGCTGCTATAAGCATTGGGGTGTGTGTATTCCTTTAAATAAGCATTTTTTAAATTCTTTGGGTAGATACTTATTAGGTCTGCTTTTAGATAAAGGCCATGTATAAATCAGTTATAGATACTCACAGAATATATTACTTGTAAAACTAAGCAAAATAAAACAAATGCAGTCATAGGTAGTAAAAGAAATACCACGTTATACAAACATCACAATTTAATTTTTTCAAATAAAAACGTGGATACACTTTTATTCAAAGAACCTCTTCTACAGAACAAAATATTCCAAGCATTTTAAAGCAAGAGAAACAAAAGCATATATGTATATACTTACTTCCAAAGATTTAAGGAATGGCAGTGATTCTATAAAGCTTTCATACATTTTTCTCTTTTTGGCATTATTTTTTACAATTATTCTCCTGAAGGTTACCCTGTCCTAAAGGCAGAACAGCAGATACAAAGACAGTTATAAGGTAGATTTTATTACGAAAAAAGTTTGAAGAGATAGGTTCATTTTATTCCCTATAAGGAACAAACAATAACTGAAGACTTTGAAACAAAGGGTTAATGTTATTATCCTTTTCAGACTTTATTTCTTCAACCATAAAATATATGCCCATATAAAATATTACCTTTTTTTTTTAAAGAAAGCATCAGTTTCCTTTAACTCAGAACAGATCTGGCCAATGTGTACTTGGTATAAAACCACAAGGTGGCAGTTTCGTACCATTTAAAAAAACAGCAGTAGCGCCATCTTGGTTTTCCTCCAAGCTTTATTGAGATTTATGTGATTTTTGATACTGTGTAAGTTTAAGGTATATAACGTGCTGATTTGATACACTTATACCTTGTGAAATGAATACCACAAGAAAGTTAATACTGATATCACCTCACATAATTACCCTTTTCTTTTTTGTAATGAGCACATTTAAGGCTTCTTCTCTTAGCAACAATACAATGTTAACTATAATTACCATGCTCTGTTCACTCAATCCCCAGAACTCATTCACCTTGTAACTGTAAATCTGTACCCTCTGACCAACCTCTCCCCATCTCCCCCAATCTCTCAGCTGCACCCTCACCCCCAACCCCTGGAAGCCACCACTGTGTGTCTCTGAGCTCATGGTAGCACAAGTTTTCTTTACTGCGGATGACAGCCCTAGAGTGTCACAAAATCAATTCAGGGGAACATGACTAGCATTTTTTTAAACTGAGGTATAACTGACCTATAACATTGTAGTAGTTTAAGGAGTACAGTATAATCATTTGGTATTCATATATACTGAGAAATGATCACAGTAAGTCTAGTTAACTTTCATCACCATACATACTTTTCTAGTGGAAAACTTTTAAGATCTACACTCTTAGCAACTTTTAAATATACAGTGCTGTATTATGAACTACAGTGGCCATGACATTCCAGGTCTTACGTATTTTATAATTGAAAGTTTGTGCCTTTTGACCCCCTTCACCCATGGCGAGCATTTTTATAAAAAATAAATAAAAGTTCTCAGCATGCACACCTTTTCGTAAAGTTTGTTTAGTAATTTATTTCAGTTATACACAAAGACACATATATACATGCACTGTTTGTGAGATTTCCTAATGTGTTTCTTGATGTGGGTTGCAGGAAAAAATACACAAAAAACGCTATTAGAAATGTTTTTAATCATAAGGCAATTACAATATGAGACCTTAAAAAATCATGTATGCTAGGTTGTCACATCCGCAGTGTGTCAGAGTTTTTCTTTTTTAAAAATGTGCACAGAGAAACTATAACTTTCTTGACTGAGTTGAATGCCAGTGTTTATCATTCTCAGGGTCCTAAAACGTTCCTCTGTTTATACTACTTAACCTCAAAGATACAGAACTCAATTAAGGAACTAGGGAAAATTTTAACGATAACAAACAGCTCAAAAAATGGTTTCCCTACAAACTTAATTTTGAAAAATTTTCTATAAAACATTATTTTAAAGAAGAGCCCCCATAATTACATTAATTTGTCACACAATGATAACCAATTACATCATTTTAATATAAAATAAAGCAGAGTTATGTTCATTATTTATTAAACTACTGCACTGACATAGGAAGGCTGAATTTAACTAGTAGGCTGGGGGGAAACCCAGTGTGGAGGGCGTTAAGTCTCTAGGAAAGCAAAGCAAACATCCTGTTGCCCCAATTAGTCTATTACAATTTTACAAGGGCTGTAATTCGGAGTTATAATCCTAATAATTTTTTTAAAGAGAAAAACTTGCAAGACAATTAGTAAATTGACTAAAATAATTTCTAAGGTTGGGTCTGCATCAGAATCAGCTCTAGTGCTAACAACAAAAAGGTTTCTCCGATCCCAGACTTGAATGACTCAAACAATGTTTGCATGTAGGGCTCAATAATCTATAGTTCATAAAAGCTCCCCAGGCGATCCTGATACATAATCGGTTCTGGGAACTAGCTGCAACACCGTTTATGGACAGAGTTAGCTGTGAAACAGAGAAGACTAGAAAGAGTTCAGTGACACACAACTGACCTCAGGGAGATATACGTCTCAGGAAAAATCATGTTAGTGGCCCACCTCTTCGCACCCACTGTGACACAGAACTAAAATCCAGAAATGCCCGTTTCAAATGTTTTCACGCTAGCCATGTCAGTCACCACCTCCCTGAAACACGGGCAGGGTCATGCACATCAGTTAGTCCCTAAGGTGAACAGTGACCGAGTCCTATTTACAAAGTCAGACGAGTCTACAAAGGACTTTTCTCTTGGGATCTGCCTAGCTTTATGCCTGCACTTATATGACAGAGCTCCAATCTGTTGGCTTTAAAAGAAAAGTATCTTTTCTACTCAGATTTCCCTGAAAAGGGGCTAGTTTGGTAAGTCGCTCTTAAAAATCCAGGTTTGAAATATTAAGTGGTATGTTCACTAGGCTTATTTTTAAAAAGTCACTGTACTCATGCACATACCCAAAGGCGACCTTCACAAACTGCCACTTTAATAACATCTACAGATGAGTCTGAAAACGCTTGATCCTTCTTGATGGCCTGAGTATCACACACACTGGGAAATGCTGGGCCTCTTTGTACCTAGTTTAAGGTGTCCGCCAGGGCTCCAGGTCATCAGGACTGAGAGGGGCCAAACTGCTAAATGTGCGGTCTTGCTCCACAGGCGTGCGGGAGGAGGCTCCTGACTGTGCAGCCATCTGACCCTGGCTGGCAACCTCAATGGAATGATTACATTTTTTTAAACGTTTATTTATTTTTGAGAGACATAGAGAGGCAGAGTGTGAGTGGGGGAGGGGCAGAGAGAGAGGGAGACACAGAATCTGGAGCAGACTCCAGGCTCTGAGCTGTCAGCAGAGAGTCTGAACCCACATGACCTGAGCTGAAGTCGGATGCTTAACCGACAGAGTCTCCCAGGTGCCCCTGGGATCATTACATTTTTGACCTGTGCCTTCCTTAATGAAACAGCTCACAGCAGGCTCTGGGTTTAGCCCATCATTCTGATGACAGAGAAACAGGAAACTTCCTATGGACCTAGCCTGGTCTGGTTGGGTGTTTCTACTTAGCTGGGTTCAAATCTTTAATAGTGCTTGAAACACTTCAGATGACGAGTTTCTTCCTGTGGGAAATAATTCCCATTTTTCTTCTACATCTTAAAATGCAACTCATCACATTTTTACTACATCGACAGTAACTGCCTGATTGTCATAAGAGGAAATACAGTACATATTATTTCTTTAAACAGGAGATTTTTATCAGCTGAATCTGCTTCCGAGTTAAGTGCTGAGTCGTCATTGAGTACAGTGCTACTTCTACAAAGCTACAGTCCTTGGGAACCAGATCCAAATAGACTTCCACTTTCTTAACCTCTCCTCCTTCCAAAAAAGGATTTGGGAGTGAACTAATCAAATATATCCATGTGGAAACTACAGAGTGGGCTGTTTTCAACAATTTGAAAATAAAATACAAGTATCACAAACATGCCCCTAAATCAGAGCTACTTAAAAAGTGTTCCGAGCACAGCAGCAATGGAGTGTCCGGGAGCTTATGAGAAAAGAAGAATCATAGGCCTCATTCCAGACCCAGTGAATCGGAATCTGCATTTTAACTATATTCCCAGGTAAGCACACTGGAGTCTGAGAAGCACCAGTCTTCTAGCTACTGCGCCCCCTGATATCACACATGAAAAGAATCCCCCTGGGGCGCCTGGGTGGCTTAGTCGGTTAAGCGTCAGACTTTCGCTTAGGTCATGATCTCGCGGTTCGTGGGTTCGAGCCCCGCATCGGGCTCTGTGCTGACTGCCAGCTCAGAGCCTGGAGCCTGTTTCAGTCTGTGACTCCCTCTCTCCCTGACCCTCCTCTGCTCACACTGTCTCTCTCTCTCTCTCCTAGAAATAAATAAAACATAAAAAAAAAAAAAAAAGAATCCCCCTTTCCACCTCACCCAAGTGTATTTAAACTGACTTTTAAGCCTTGTAGAATTATCACTATTAACACACTTATTTTAAAAGCCCAGGACTCACCCCACAGAGTCTGATTAAATTAGTCTGCGATGGGCCCTCAGCAAGGATTTGTTTTAACCACCCCCCACGTCCCCACAAAGTAATTCTGATGTGCGTCCAGGTGAGAACCCCTGCATCAAGTATTTTCTCTCTACCCAGCTGCTTTTCAATGCCAAGTTGTTACCAATTTATAGCACACCAAGGGAATCTGTTTACAGAGGCTTCTCAAATGCTTGCAGGCAACAGAGTCACGTGGTTGGGTTTGCTCAAGCACGCATCGCTGGGCCCCATCTCCAAAGCTTCTGATTCTGTGGGCCCAAATCGGTAAGTGGGATCCTCATAATTTCCATTTCTAGCAAGTACCCAAGTGATACAGATGCTACTGGCTGGGGGACCACACTTTGGGAAGCACAGATAATAGAACACAACACTGAAAGCTCTGTGTGAGCATTTTGGATTTGAGTATCTTTCCCAGGGGAGGGAGGCTGTGCTCCTGACTTGATCAGGGAAAGAACGGGAAGATTTAACTCAGCACTGTCTCAGTACAGACCCAAGAGTTCAGCATCCACTGTGTAACATATACCCTGATGACTGCTGAGGACAGCATGAGAACGAAATAACCCCATCTACCTGGCTTCTGTCGTAACAGCGTGTACAAATAACATCCAGGTCATGTAATCGGCTCACTCACCAAACCCCACAGAGCTCCCGGAGAGGTAGCAGTGATGGTGGCTGCTCTGGGCGTATTGTACATTAAGGCCAGTTCACCGAAACTCCCACGATTGTCGTAGTTACCCACACACCTTCCGACACCATCGCATTTCACGTAAATATCAAATGTTCCTCTGTTGGGCATATGAAACATTGGAGGTAAAAGTAATGCAAGTAAAATCTCACTGATATCAAACATAACTTCAGAGAAGAGCCCTATGCAAGAAAAATCCCCTTTCCAGCTTCGCCGCCTCCTCTGTTGGCCGAGAAGGGTTAAGAGGCCACCAGTAGGTGTCGCCAGACCAGCAGGCGGACACCATCAGCTAGCTGAGGGTAAGGACCATACGTGGGCCTGCGGGGGAGAAGGAGACTAAACAAAGTTTACAATAATAAAATAAATGATAAAAATAGAGACTACAACCAAAAGTGTATGTGCAGACATCCTTCGGAAGGAATGTATATGAAACAAAGCTGTCTGTAGTTATCTCTGAGCGTTAAAAATAGTGAAAGAGTCTAGGATGTTCACTATCTAATTAAAGAGGTTTTGTTTCCAAAATGAACATGTATTACTTTTAAAAGGAGAAGAAAGCAACTTTCCTTTTTCAAAATGTTATTTATTTGGGGGGGGGGAGGGGGCGACACTATTACCATAGAGACTGAGATGGGGCTCAGACTCACAAACCATGAGATGGTGGCCTGAGCTGAAATCAAGAGTCTGGGATGACTGAGCCATCCAGACGCCCCAGAAGATACTAACTTAAAAGAAAAAATACAGCTATAACAATTTGGTCAGCACCACTGTACAGCACTCAGAAGGGTCCTTTATAATATAAGGGAGGGACGAGCAAAGCGTGGCCCACAGACTGGCTGCCTGCTTTCATGAACAAAGTTTTAATGGAACACAGACACATGGGTTTGTTTATGCCTTACGGATCGCTGATCTGTACCGCCACAGCAGAGCTAAATAGTTGTGACGGAGATCACACACCTACAAAGCCAAAAAAATTCGATCTAGCTCTTTACATCATCTGGCCTTTTATTGTAGACTGACTCCCCATTCTAAGGCAAACACTAATAGAAATTCAGACTAAGTATCTGATCCTGGTCTTTCTGTACGTCTTTTATCTTTTATTTGGGTTCTTATTCTAAGCAAGTAACACTCAGTCTGCATGACACTGTGCTACATTATCTGACAGATCCTCTATCTATATAACTACATTCTTCTGGTGGAGGACTCCCTTCCCACACACTGTATTTGATCAGAGAACAGGGCTCAAGGCTGGCCGAAACACCAGGAGGGCAGACAGCAGAAACTCTTTGGCTTTAGGGCGCCTGGGGGGCTCAGTCGGTTAAGCGAGCGACTTTGGCTCAGGTCATGATCTCACGGTTCATGGGTTTGAGCCTCGAGTCAGGCTCTGTGCTGACAGCTAGCTCAGAGCCTTGAGCCTGTTTTTTGTCTCCCTCTCTCTCTGACCCTGCCCTGCTCATGCTCTCTCTCTCTCTCTCTCTCTCTCTCTTCCTCTCTCTCTCAGGAAAAAAAAAACAAACAAACACATATTTAAAAAAAAAAAAGAAAGAAACTCTGGCTTTATCGTATTGGTTAAACCCTTAACAAAAACAAAAAAAGGGAGAGCTTTTCAGATTAGGAAAGGATTATGAATGGCAAGGAAACAACAGAAACAAAAAAATGTAAGAAACTAGACAATGATAATAATAAGAGAATAACTAAAAAAAAGAATAATAATGAGAATAACTGGTTTGCAAATTCATGGACAGAATAGCTTTTCAAGGATACCTTCTAAAATTTGTTTCATGACCATTTTCCAAATACAGATTACTTCTTCTATTGACACTATTTATACTTTTGCACTAAACCCGTTCTCTACATTTTCTACTCTGAACAGAATAAAATACACAACAAATGTGCTGATGAGAAATAACTATCAGTCCATCTGCAATCACATCAGTCTGTAATCTGTACTGCCTTTTCGTATAGATTTCCTGCCTCAAAATGTGAGGGCTCAGGCAGCGTGAGGCCGTGGAAAGACCACAAACCGTGGCCAAGAGACCTGGCCGCCAGGCTGGCTGACTTTAACGGACTACCGTCACTTGTGTGTGCCTGGGAGTTTTCACCTGTCCAATGGGTGATGAGGAGGTAACCGAAAGGGAAATGTAAGGGAGTTTTTAACCATATTTGGGTTCCTCATATACCCTACAGTTAAATACACTTTTAACAGCGGAGGGAATTTCTGAGGTGTTTCACTGATGATGGCTGTTAATGATACCAAGATCAAGACTAATTTACATATGGGATAAATGGGTCTGTTCTAAAATCAGAGGACTCACCCTACCCCTGGCTAGCACCTTGCAAACCGCTTTACGGGTCACTGAGGCATCAGGGATGAGGGAATGGAGGAATCAGTAAGAACTCTCGATGTGGACAGCGGGCTCAATCACTGATGCAGGACAGCCAAGTCAGGAAATGAGGCCTGCGCAGACATGTGGGCTGGGATCTTCCGCAAGGCTCTGAGTTGAGCACAGCTCAGAGCAGCAAATGTAACCCAATGAACCCAGCAGGGAGATATCCTATGTTGCACCCGGAACGGGAGGAGCCGGGGATGCCAGTGGTCTCATAAATACTTTATCATCGTTTTCCAAAAGACCCAGTTCAGACTGCTCCCCCATTAACAGTGCAGGGCTCTTACCTAATTGTCGCTTAAAGCACATGGTTCGCTGATGAAGTAAAGCACCACTTAAGTTTTCTGAAATTACATTTTCAGTATGAACACATGCCTCTCACTGAAAGAAAATAATTTCTCTACAATGTTTTAAAAATCACTTCTCTATAATGCTTTTAATGCACAAGAATGCAGAAACAATTTCTGGAAAAAACATAAAACTACTCTCTCTACCATGGGGATGTTTTACTTTAGAGTTCATTAAAAAAAAAAGAACCTTTTAAAAAACAACACAGATTGAGTTAATAGAATTTAACACTGTGATCTGCTTCTGTCCTAACTGTAACAGGCATCTTCTCTAGCAGAAGTTAATAAATGAGGCAGCTTGAAGGAAATGACTGGGATTTATAGATTTCACTAACCAAAATCATCAGTTCTTCTATAAACTATGCCTTCTTCCGTGCTCCAGTGTGGTTTCACCACACGTATTCACAGCAGGTTTCCAGTGCCTGTTATGTAGTACTAAGAATAAAGAGGTAACAGCAACGATCAAATATTAATTTGCCAGTCATTAGGAGAACCACTGAGATTTAACACAAGAGGTTCATCATGTTTCAGCAGTGAAGTTACGTGAGACTTACCGATCGATCACATAGAAGTTGTCACCATCATCGCCTTGATCGATTACATGCTCCCCTTCTTTGACCAATTTTTCAAACATGGCATCTAACACCTGAGACATCTGCTCCTATTTGTTTTTAAAAGAAAAGATACAATCCTTATGTTTATCTGCAATATGTTCTCTTCACTAACCATAATTAGCTTTATATTCCTGTGAATAAGCTCAAAGAAATAGAAATACCATCACTGCCACTAATTCTTATCCACACACACACAGTTCAGTCTTCCTTACTGCATACAAATGAGGATTATATATTTCCTCTCATATTCAGTGCCTGAATGAAAGTAATTATAATTGGCAACTTCAGAATATTTCAGTGCAAAGATCACTAATATATTGAAAAATGAACCACCAAGCCACCATATACCTTATAATGTGAAATATAATCTGGGCATTTAAAACACCTAGGTTAGTAAAGAACTACTGCAAATGTCCTTTCAAGATACTTGTTTTTAAAACTTCCCTGTATTAGTCATCCCTAGAATTTATATAGAGATTACCTAAATAACTTACCGAATTCAAATTCTGACTCCAATCCTTTTTGGTTTAGCACCAAAACCAAAATAGAATGGAACAGAAAAACAAAAGCAAAACCAAAGATGACTGTGGCAAAATTTTTTATCACTCTTCTTTGTCACTATGGTTCTCCTCGAGAAGCAACCTTTCACCTCCCTAGGACAGATTTATTAAAACGGAAGCCAGAAACCTCAAACCTATTCTTCAACAACTATTTTTTTTTTTAATTTTTAAATGTTTTTTATTTATTTCTGAGAGAAAGGGACAGCGTGAGCAGGGGAGGGGCAGAGAGAGAGGGAGACACAGCATCTGAAGCAGGCTCCAGGCTCTGAGCTGTCAGCACAGAGCCCGACACGGGGCTTGAACCCACGAAACGTGAGATCATGACCTGAGCTGAAGTCGGACGCTTAACCAACTGAGCCACCCAGGTGCCCCTTCAACAACTATTTAAACTATATAAAATTTTTCTTCTGCTGAAGCATGGTTGACAAGGCTTAAGGATAAACTTCGGCTAGTGAGAAAAAGCTAGAAAGTGAAAAAAATATTTCCTCAGAACAAATACAGCAACAATATGAAGACCCTGGAATACACAAAAGAGCTCAGTGTTTCTCAAACGATGTTCTGTGGTACCCAGGGATTTAGTGGAGGCACTTCAGTGATTGATTCTGTAAACAGCTGATTTAACTGCATCCTTAAAGTGTATTTTAGCCATTAAATATTAAAACTAATGTAAATCAAAATGCTCAAATGATTTATATATACAAGATGGTTTTATGAGGTTAAATTTCCCATAAAATTAACCATGGTTAAGTGAACAATTCAGTGGCCACAAAAAGTTGTGCAAACATCACTTCTTGGTTCCAAAACATTTTCATCATGTCACATTTTCATCCATCATCCATGGATTCACCTAATCTGGATATTCCATATAATGCAATCATAAAACATGTGACCTTTTCCATCCACTTATTTCTTAGTGTAAGTAAGGTTTTCAAGGCCCATCCTTGCTCTAGATCTATCATACTTCATTCCTCTTTATAGATGGATAATACTCTACTGTAAATATGCCATTATGTGTTTATTCATTCATCCATCCATCAATGGACACTTGCATTGTTGACAGTTTGGGGCTATCATGAGTAGCGGGGCTACTGAACATTCATATTCAAGTATTTGTTTGAATATCTATGTCAATTCTTCTGGGTTATACCCAGGAGTGGAGCTCCTGAGCTGTATGGTAATTCAATGTTTAACTTTTTGAGAAGCTGCCAAGCTGTTTCCCATGGTGCCTAAACCATTTTCTTTCCCACCAACAATGTACTAGGGCTGCTGCTTCTCCACATCCTCAATAACATTTGTGATTTTCCTTTTTAAGAAAATTTTACGCACCCTAGTGAGGCTGGGCTAGTATTTCACTGAGGTTTTGATTGGCATTTTCCCAATGACTAGCCATGTTGAGGATTTTTTCATGTGCTTATTGGTCATTTGTAGATCTTTTTTGGAGAAATGTCTATTCAAGTATTTTGCCCAGTTTTAAGTTGAGTTGTTCTGTTGATCGCCGTAAGGAGATTTTGGGTATCATGCCCTTATATATATGTGGCTTGCAAATATTTTCTCCCATTTAGTAGAATGTCTTTCTTTTTTTTTTTTTTTGATAATGTCCTTTGGTGCACAAAATGTTTATTCTTTCTGAAGTCCAATTTCTTTCTTTTCATACTCCTGTTTTTGGTATCTCCCTAAACCCAAGGTCATGAAGACTTACCCTTGTGTTTTCTTCTAAGAGTTTTTATAGTTTGGGAGCTTACATTTAGGTCTTGGATCCACTCTGAGTTAATCGCTGTGTACAGTGTAAAGGGAGGGGTCCAACCTGTTTCCCTTGTGTGTGGACGTCCAGTTGTCTCCCGCCATCTGCTGAAGAGACTGCTCTTCCCCCCACTGAATGGCCGTGGCCCTCTTGTCAAAGTTAAATGGACGTCAAATCAAATGTACAGGGATGGTTTGTAGACTCTCAATTCTATTTCTTGTTCTATGTGTCTGCCTATGCCGGTAGCACATGATTTTTATCACTGGAGCTCTGCAGTAAAATTTTTAAAAAGGGCAAGTGTGAGTCCTGAACTTTGTTCTTCTTTTTCAATGTTATTTTGATGATATGGGCCCTCCTTTGTTATATTATTTTAATCAAACAGATAACAAAATGTTAATGTGTTTTCTTAGTTTGGCTTTATAATACATAAATGTTACCAATTTAAACTTTTATAAATACTGATATGAATAATCTTTTAAAAGAATATGGAACCTCCATAAATACAGATATATTGTTCGGTAAAAAGAAGAACCGGGCAGAACACCGTGGGAAGTTTGCTGCCATCAAAATTTAAAAACAATATACTGATCTTTTACCTCTTTGCTTAGGTTTATTCCTAAGTACCTTACGGTTTTGGTGTTAACTATAAATGTTCCCTGATTTCTTTTTCTGCTGCTTCAGTATTGGCATAGAAATGCAACATATTTCTGTACACTGATTTTATATCCTGCAACTCTGCTGAATTCGTATATCAGTTCTAGTAATTTTTGGTGTTTTTGGGGTTTTCTGCATAAAGTATCATGTCATCTGAGAAGAGTCAAAGTTTGACTTCTTCCTTGCTGATTTAAATGCCTTTTATTTCTTTTTGTTGTCTAACTGCTGAGGCTAGGACTTCCATTGTTAAATAACAGTGGTGAGACTGAACATCCCTGTCTTGTTCTTGACCATAGAGGAAAGCTCTGTTTTTCCCTACTGAGGAGATATTAGCAGTGGGTCTTTCATATGTGCATCAAAATCCTAGAGGAGAACACAGGCAGCAACCTCTTTGACCTTGGCCATAGCAACTTCCTTCCAGACACGTTGCCAGCGGTAAGGGAAACAAAAGCAAAAATGAACTACTGGGACCTCATCAATATAGAAACTGCACAGCGAAGGAAACAATCAACAAAACTAAAAGGCAGCCTATGGAATGGGAGAAGATATTTGCAAATGGCATATCAGATAAAGGGTTAGTATCCAAAATCTATAAAGAACGTATTAAACTCAACACCCAAAAAACAAATAATACGATTAAAAAATGGACAGAAATATGAACTGACATTTTTCCAAAGACACACAGGTGGCTAACAGACACATGAAAAGATGTTCAACATCACTCATCATCAGGGAACTACAAATCAAAACACAATGAGATATCACCTGACACCTATCAGAATGGCTAAAATTAACAACAAATGTTGGCAAGGATGTGGAGAATGAGAAACCTTCTTACACTGTTGGTGGGAATGCAAACTGGTACAGCCACTGTGGAAACCAGTATGGAGGTTCCTCAAAAAGTTAAAGACAGAACTACCCTAAGACCCAGTAATTGCACTCCTAGGTACTTACCCAAAGAATACAAAAATACAAAGTCAAAGGGGCACACGCAACCCAATGTTTATAGCAGCAGCATTATCAACAATAGCTAAATTATGGACCCAAGGGTCCATCATCTAATGAAGGGAGAAAGAAGATGTAGTATATACATAGACACACACACATATGTGTATATATATGATGGAATATTACTTCACCATCAAAAAGAATGAAATTATGCCATTTGCAATGATGTGGATGGAGCTAGAGTGTATTATGCTAAGTAAAAGAAATCAGTCAGAGAAAGACAAATACCATATGATTTCATTCATATGTGGAATTTAAGAAACAAAGCAGGGGCGCCTGGGTGGCTCACTCAGTAAAACGTCCAACTCTTGGTTTTGGCTCAGTCCTGATCTCACAGTTCGTGCATTTGAGCCGCACATTGGGCTCTGTGCTGACAATGCAGGGCCTGCTTAGGATTCTCTGTCTCCCTCTCTCTCTCTCAAAATAAACAAACTTGAAATACTAACAGATGAACACATGGGAAGGAAAAAAAGAGGGGGAAGGCAAACCATAAGAGACTCTTAAAGACAGAGAACAAATTAAGGGTTGCTGGAGGGAGGTTGGTGGGGGATGGGCTAAATGGATGATGGGCATTAAGGGCACTTGTGATGAGCACTGGGTGTCATATGTAAATGATGAATTATTAAATTCTACTCCTGAAACCAATTTTACCATATATGTTAACTAACTAGAATTAAAACTTGAAAAACAGAAAAACAAAACAACGTACTGGTCTATACACAGCATAACCCCAGAGCAATACCATCAGAACGCTAAAGGAATGGGACTCCTGAGAAGCTGGGCTGCCAGAAGGCGGGGCTGTAAGGGGGACTTCCTTCCCCTGACTACTCTTTCGTTCTTTTTTGTAAGCGTTTTTATTCATTTATTTTGAGAGAGAGAGAGAGAGAGAAAGAGAGGAAGAGAGATACATATGCGCAAGTGTGGGGGGGGTGGGCAGAGAGACAGAGCCCCAAGCAGGCTCCATGCTATATGTGCAGAGCCTGATGCGCGGTTCAATCTCAGGAACCACAAGATCCAGACCTGAGCTGAAACCAAGACCCAGAAGCTCCAACTGACTGAGCCATCCAGGCACCACTCCTCTTTT